GTGAGATCATACTTCTTCCTTGTAGATCCAGGATTCCTGATTGGACCTACTTGGATTTTGTGCCCAAACCTGCACCAGTGATTGGGGGTAGAGAGGAGCAATTACTCAGATGGCCAGATGTAGGGCATATGCCAGCTCCAGGCCCGTCATCTTGGCCGAGGGAATTCAGTGCTCAGTTTGACAAGCCTGGGTCACATGTCCACTCTGGAACCAGGGGTAGACTCTCAGCTGAGCCATGGACTAATGTGAGGGCAGGGTGGTTCTCCAATCAAGCTGAAGTGCTCTTCCCAGAATCCATAGAGCTAAAGTATGCACTACAGCAGTAGGAGACAAAACTAGGGTCAATGAATGGAAGCTCTTGGTCACTGCATTTCTGCTGTTAGAGAAGGATCTTCTCTGGGGTACAGAAATGAAAGATGCCAGCTGTGGTGGTAGTGAGTTGGCTGTCACTGGAGGTGTCTAAGCAGCCACCACCATGTATAGATGCCAAACCATCAGCACTGTATAGGTGAAGCAGATAACCTCAAGGGCCGCATTTTCAAACTGTTTCTCTGTGATGCACTAGGGAAGACATTTTGCACCAAAACCCAGTATACCATTCTCACGCGTATAAAACTGCAAGCAGAATTTTCATGGCATGGTACTTTTCCTTACTATTTGACAGGTTCATATTTTCTGTTCCACTTTATTCTAGTTAAAAATCCCTGTTGTGTGCAACCCACTACATGGTTTTAATGTCTCACTAGTGAGTCTCGACCTGCGGTTGGTAAAACCCTGTTCTAAGGTCAGAGGTCTTAGATGGAGTAGGCTTACAGATGGCGTTTGAGTCTGGCTTTTCCACCATGATGGTGACTTGGGTCAAAAATGAGGATTTAACCTCTTGCATTGTGAGAGCTCCTGATTCTAAGTGCTGGAGTCTCCTGCTGTCTGTCAGAGCAGCTCCTGCCCATGTGGTGGCGTAGCCTTCTTTGTTTTGTGGGCCCTCAGGCAGTGTTGGAGGGAGTTTACGGGCTGGATCTCGGAGGTGGCCTGGCAGTTTGGAGGCTGGCAGCAGCTCCTTCTGTGCCAGCAGCAGTTGATGTTGTGAGGTCGAATGTGTGTGCATGTATGTGGCTCTGCCAGGCTTTTATATTGAAGGTGAGGGAGTGGCTTTTAAAAATAAAATATTTTTGACTTGAAACAAGACAGAGAGTGGAGACAATTAGTCATCTGTTTAGTCTGTTTAGTCATCTCTCCAGAGAGCTCTATTTTCAGAACTGTTCTATAAAGGTTCACAAGTGGTGTTAAGATAGTTAAGGGGCTATTGTTAAGTTAGTAGTCGTGATGCAAGAAGCTGATTTGAACACTAGAGTGAGTTATGGTGTGGTAACCACACTGATAACAGACGGAATGCAGAAAAAGGCAGGGTTTATAAGAATTGGCTGTTATATAGATGAAGCTCTCCCAGTCAGTATAAAACAGGCATCTTTTATTTTGAAAAAGTATAAACAGAGTGTAGTACTTAAAAACAGGTGGTGGTGAGCTCTAGGGTAAGGTCAGTGCATTTCTTTTCTTCGGTATTGGTCACCTATAGATGCAATACAAACAGTAAATAGTACTGTTAAGGCTCTTTGAGATTGTCTGACAGAAGCCATGTCAGAAATGCTGAAGAATGATGTCATGGACTTGGAGATGGGAGCAGTGAAGCTGGGCATGGTTAAGGACCTTGCCCAGAGTGCAGAGCTGCTGCGGCAGTCAGACTGGAGTCGGTGTCCTGGTCTAGTTTGGACAATGTACCATGTGATTTGCAGCTTATTTAAATTTAATATTCTACCCAAAAGACCATCCATATCTATACTCAAGCTTCTCTGAACCTCCCTCTCTTAGACAAAAGGTCAAAGGCAGAGCTGAAGCCATAGGCTAAACCTGACAAGATTTTATTTAAGGACAATTGTAAATTTATGTATCGGAGCTCCAAAGAACCTCAGAATCCATGGCTTAGAGGTGTTCATGGGTAGTTCAAGGTTAGCATGTAGAGGGCAGAGCCTGCCTACCTGGGCCAGTGTGGTCAGAGCAGATACGGAGGGTACTGCCCCATCCTGGGGCCATGCTGTGTGAAGGTCTTTGGGAGACGGGAGTGTGTGCAGAGGACAGGCTCTAGTGAGAAGACGTACAGCTGCCTCGTTGGCAGAACGTCTGTCTTGTTTTCTCAGCTTGTAGATAAGAACTTGAAGGAACGTTGATGTTCCCATGAACAGTCGAGAGTAGTGAATGCACAGCACACGTACTGCCTTCCCTGGTGCTCCCTGAAGATGAACTGCACTCAGGTGGAAATGGTGTAGACAGAGACAGCACTCTTCTGTTCAAACTCTTTACTTCCTCAAACTACAGGTACGCAGTTGACGTGGCACATTGCCTTTATGTTGCCATTATTTCTCTACTTCATACACTTGCCACGTGCTTTAGTAAAATATTGTTCTTACAAATGGTGCACATCAGTTACGGGTGTCTCAAAAGTAGTGACCACGTGTATGGTTGCTCATCAATATCACAGAGAGCCAAAATGGAAGAGGAAAACATTCGAGAGAGGGAAAACATTGCACGGTTTCGTTTAGATCTGCTTTTCATCCATTACAGTTTCTTGTGCTGTCACTTGTTTCGTGCCCCTCTACTGTTCAATGAAAAACATAGATCTGATTTATGGCTGTGACTTGTGCATTGAGGCCTCTCTGTCAAGAATTATTTGAGGCCCACAAAAAAATACTTCAAAATTAGCATATAACATACAATTTTTTTCTCTCTTTCTAGGTGGATCTGGAGCCAGAAGGGAAAGTATTTGTTGTAATAACCCTAACAGGAAGTTTCACTGAAGGTAAGAATGAATTTGGGGTGGTTTCTGGTATTTGTGTACTCTTAGTTCATACTCAGTAGGAATTTATATCATGGAGCATCTAAAAAGAGCATTTCGTAAAAGACGCTTTAAAAATTGAATGTATAAACCAGGTTGGTTGGTATTTTGTTGCCTAATGGTCTATTGGTTTGGGTTGCCAGATTAAATATATTTGCTAACTCTGGCAATCTTGTGTTTTGTTTAACATACTCACTGAGTTTTTGTTTTTATTCATCATCATCTTAGTTCTTAGTTCAAGAGGTTCTTGCCTCTTTTGGTTCATGTCTATTAAACTGTATTTTAGAGTTTTGCCTTTGGACCAACCTTTTAGTTTGCCCTAGGAGTGTATTAAACATTTAAGGATTGTGTTCTCTTCCTTATAATCTTTATCTCATTCTGTCCTTTAGGGTATTCTGTTGCTCTTCCCCTTGCACTACCTCCATCTCCCATTCCCCATATTTAAAAAATCGAGGTAAAATTTATATACAGAGAAATAAATAGATCAGAAGTGAAGAGTTTGGTTTTGACAGATGCATACAACTGTGTAACTAGTGCTCCAATCCAAGACGTAGAACATTTTCATCCCTCTGAAAGTTCCGTGTGTCCTCTCCCAGTTAATCCCCCTGCTGCCAGAGGCAGTAAATGCAGTGTTTTGCTTTGTTTCTTCACTATAGGTTCATTTTGTCTATTCTGGAAGTTCATATAAATGGAACTACATAGCATGTTCTCTTTTGTGTCTGATTTCTTTTGCTCAGCATAATTTCTCTGAGACCCATTCATGTCATTGTGTATATTAGTATTCTGCTCCTTCTTACTGCTGGGTATTCTATTACATAAATGTAGCACAATTTTGTTTGCTTATTCTCATCTTGATGGACATTTTGGAGTTTTCCCTGTTTGGGGTTATTATAAAGAATGCTTCCATAAACATCCTTGTACATAAATTACACTTTGATTTTTCTTAGGTAGATACCTAAGAGTGGAATTGCTGGATAATAGAGTAGATACATGTTTAACTTTATAAGAAACTTTCAAATGGTTTTCCAAAGTGGTTGTATTCTTATATTCCCACCAGCGATGTATGAGAGTTCCTGTTACTCTGTATCCTCCCCAACACTTGGTATGGTCATTCTCTTAAATTTTAGACATGCTGGTGGCTGTGAAATGATATCTTGTAGTTTTAAGTTGCAAATCAAATTCCCTCTAATTTCTGTCTCTTTTCTGGTGGCCCTCCAGTGTTTCCAATTAATTGTTTTAGAATGTATTTCTAACTATCTTAATTGTTTTTGGTGGGAAGATTAGTCCATTACAAGCTACTCTACCGTTACTAAAATCCTTGCAAAGATCTGTAAATGTGTGGCTTCATGGTTTGTCTGTTTGGTGTTGGCATTTTGCAAATTGATGACACTTTTGAGAAGTGGTTTTCTCTCATCTCAGCCAACCCTTCTCATTCATGTGGGCAAATTGTCTTAACGTTAACATTTTTCAAGTTGTTGTCTCAATTGTCGCATCTTATCTTTTGAAATTAGCAGAAACTTGGGATACTTGAACATGAAAAAACTGTCCAGATTACAGTTTGGGGGTCTTCTGCCTGCTCACAGGTCTTTTGGTTTGGCTTGGTATCTTGAACATACACGATTTGTGGGAAAAATGAGTCTGCTCATAATTCAGTCAAATAAAATATAATGTAATATTACAGAACATTGCTGATAGAACATTCTTACAGCACACGGAACATGGGTACAGCCATGGTATAGACAAGCCCAGCAGTGAGAATAGAGGTGTGAATGAGGAGTGAGTGAGATTCTGAATGTGTTGAACCACGTTTCTGTACTGAGTGACAAGGGACCAGTGGAGTAAGGCCATGCCTGTTAGACCAGGTCTGATGGTGCCATTGTTGTTACATCTTTTTTTTAGAGTTACACCAGCTCTCTAGGACTAAATTTTATTAAGTTTTTATCTTCCTTAATTTTACACTGGAAACATCAGAACAGGCTCTGGAATACTCCTCAGTATTCTCATAGTATTGGGTTGGCCAAAAAGTTTGTTTGGGTTTTCTGTGTTACAAAGGAACTTTTTGGCCAACGCAATATTAATTTATTAGTTATAGTGATAAAAAAAGGAATGTCAAGTGTTATTTGGGGTGACTTCTTACCAGGTCATTGCAATTATATTCCTTTCGGAGGTGACCCTGTGTAAAATGTTGAGGCAGGCCGAGTTCATCTTTGGTAATTCCACCTCCCCTCTAAGTCCTTCCTGTTCTCTGCCTTCCACTGTCTCTTACTCCAGTAAGATGCCCAGTCATCTCCTCTCTCCAGGAACACTTGCTAATAAGGAAGACAGTGAATTCATGGACTAATTCACACTAAAATGATAGTGATCGCTATCTTAGCACTCTACCCCTCTTAGGTGTGCCTGCGTATTTTAAAAGATGCTGAAAGAGCTGTTTTATCCATGAGAAATAGATTTTTTTAATGTTGAAATTTCAGGATCTGTGGCATCATGGTGTGGGCTGTATTTTAGAAGCTCAGGTCTGTTCTCTTTGTCTGTGGGAGCCTTGCCTTGTCAGTTTGGCTCCTAGGCCGGGGCTCAGCTTGAGCTGGCACGTTGCTGCTGCCTTAGGGCACAGCTTCCTTGTCACATGCAGACAACGTGACGGCTGCCTCTGTGTGTGTTACACAAGGAGGGAATGGAGCCTCCCAGCCCACACACACCTGCCTCAGCTATGGCAGCACCTAGACCTGGCACTGTGAGAATGTCCCTGGCTTGGCTTCTCACCTGTCAGCCACCCTAGATCATCCCTGGCCATAAAGCAACAGGTAGGCTGATAGAACATTTGGAGCTCTAGTTTCCATCTAGGATGCTGAAGGGTTTTACATAAAGAAGCAGGATGAGGTCAGGCTTGCCTGGTGTGGCTCAGGCTGTGAAGGGGGCATTGGCCTGGGATCCCAGAGGGATTGTCGAAGTTCAAGAAATGTTGGTCGATGAAAGAATGAAATAATGCCACATGCAGCAGCATGGATGAACCTAGAGGTTATCATGCTAAGTGAAGTAAGTTAGAGGAAGACAAATATCATATGATATCACTTGTATGTGGAATCTGAAAAAATGATACAAATGAACTTATTTACAAAACAGAAACAGATTCACAGATTTAGAAAACAAATTTATGGTTACCAAAGGGGAAAGGTTGGGAGGGGCATAAATTAGGAGGTTGGGATTAAAATATACACACCACTACATATAAAATAGATAAAAAGGACCTACTGTATTGCACAGGGAACTCTACTCAATACTCTGTAATAACCTATATGTGAAAAGAATCTGAAAAAGAATGGATATATGTATGACTGAATCACTTTGCTGTACAGCAGAAACTAACACAACATTGTAAATCAACTATACTCCAATATAAAGTAAAAGTTAAATTACAAAAAAAAAGAAGTGTTGGTTGAACCTCGGCATGCGTCTGATCTGTCTCACAGGGTTATTTTGAAGGTCAGGTGGTAGAATGCGTAGGGAAGTGCTTTGCAAACTGTAGAGTGCTCTTGAAGGTACACTAGTGGGTTCTCATCTCCGTGTTCCTGTTGTCACAGCAGCAGGAGTCCTGTCATTCTCCCCACCCCTGCCTGGGACCCCAAGTATACTTAGCAGGTGTGTTTTATTTTGACACTGCCTTTATTTTATGCTAGAAGCTTCGAGAATTTAGTGGACAGTTTCTAATATGGTGTTGGCTTATTGCCATGGCTGTTTCCCTTTCATGGCCTCCTGTAGGGGTTCTGCCATTAGCCCAGATGCTATAATCCCAAAGCTCTCCTTTAAAAAGCAATTGCTTAAATGGAGCTGTGGTCTGTGATATACAGGGCTGGCATTAGGAGCTACTGACTACTCCTTACTTCATCCTGTCTCATCTTTTCATCTTTCATTAATTGTGCTGAATTAGTAGCTAAGGCAAAAATGTTTTTATTAAATATAAGACATGACTGAGAAATGACATGAGAAATGCCTGCTGGGTACAGACCTGTGATCTCATCACAGATGCTGGGGAGATAAAGATGAACAAGACACGGACACTTGAAGGAGCTCATAGGAGGCAGGCAGATGCAGCCCATGTTTGCAATGCAGGGGCCCAGGTCCCAGCATAGGAATAAGTCTAAGGCATGGTGTTGGCTGGCAAGAATATGTGATTGGATCAGCCAGGAGATTTTAGAAAAAGTTTCAAGTGGTGATTGGGGGTGATGTTTAAAGCAAGTTGGAATGATCCATAGAAATGTCCCAGGCTGGGGAAGATGGTTCAAGAGGGGATGATAGTTTGTTCACAGGCATAGGGGTGAGAGAACAGTGACGGGTTTCAGAGACTGAAAGTAGCAAGAGGGGTGCCGAAGGTGAGGGAGTGCAGTGGGAGGTGTAGCAGAGACTTGGGAGGGCCTCATGTGTAGGTTTGCCCGGGACAGTCTGAGTTTGTCTGCTATACCACTGTAACTACTAACGGTGTCACCTTTCACTCTCAGAAGGGTCCCAGGTTAGAGGATAAATTGCATGGTCACACACTACTTCTAGGCTAGTAGACATGATGGGGTTTTAAGGAATGAGAAACAAAATCTGACTTGGTAGCTGTGGGTACAAGGGGCTTGGGGCTGGGGGCTGTTCAGATCATAAGAGGAGACAGGGGTGTAGACAGCCAGTAAGAGACAATTAAAGCTGTCTGAGGGAGAGGTTACTAGAGCCCAAGTTCAGTTGGAATCTGCAGGATGGATGGAGAGGAGGGGACAGCTGTGAGAAATATATAGATCTCGAAACCAACAGGAATTGGCAGTTCATAGGGTGTCAGGGATGAATAGGGATGAGACCCAGATGATGCTCAGAGGGGTGTGGAGTCATTCACCAGAGCAGAAACATAGGAATGGAATGTGATGAATTCAGCTTTGAACGGGTGGAGTTTGAGAAGTTTGTGGGAAACCCAAGTGGAGATGTTTAGGAAG